TTTAGTTTAGTGTGCATTAAATTATTTATTGCTTGGACACAAAACACGTAAGTTTTTATATTGATTATTTATGAATTGAATTCTTTTTGAATCTGATTTTTATATTCACAAAATTTTCAAAATTCTTTAAATTCAGATTGTTTATTTTTATTTTATTCATAATAAATTTTGTTATCTTTTGAAAAATACCTCAAGTTTGTAATTAATAATAATAATCATAATAATTAATAGTAGTAATCATTTTTTTAAGTTTGTTAAATTTTTATGCTTTCGTTTTTTTTTGTATTTTTTCTATATGAATTTTGTTATAGATTAATTAATTTGTATCATTAATCAATAATAAATCAATAATAAATTTGAAATCTAAATACAAAATTGATTGAATTATTGATTGAAAAGCGAAATTCTTATATATTATTCAACATTGCAATGTATTTTTTATTTGGTTAAGAATTTTGAGTTGAACAAAAACAGCAAAAATTTTTAATTTTTAATTCAAAAAACTTAATTAAAAAGTTTTTTTCAAAGAATTTCGTATACTATCATTAGAAAAATCATATTTTAAAAATATTTATATATATATATTATATATATATATATTATTTTAAAAATTTATTTTATTCTTAGAAATATAATATTATAATAATTTTGAATGAATGATTATATTCTTACTTATTACGTTTTTCTAAATTTATGTAACGCAAGCAATGATTTTTATATTTTTTTATTATATATACATTGTATAAAATATATGTATATTATATTATATATATGTATATATTTTATAATTATTTTTAAATATTTTTCTATTATATTTTTATGAAATTATTATAGTACATATATTGTAGTTTTTCTATTGAACATAAATTTATTTGAATTGAAAGAAATATTATTTCAAATATTTTTAATTGCAATGTTGTGCAAATTTTAACTTTTAAAAAATGATTTATTTTTATTAATGATTTTTTTATTTCTTCTTTAATGATTTTAATAACAATAATTATTGTGTTTGAATTAATTTATTTTATAAGAATTTAATTTTCAGTATTCCAAAAAGATTCCAAAAAGATTTGTTTTGTTTTATAATTAATGAAAATTATAATTATTCCTTTCACTATGCAAATATGTATTTAAAAGATTATTTTTTTTCGTTTAAGTAAATAAATTTATTTCGCGATATTTTATTTATATATATTAAATTTTATTTTATGGTACATTTTATGCACAAAATGCCATTTTTCAATCATTTAATAATTAAATATGTATTTAATAGAAAAATTTCATTATTTTAATTATATTTGTATTGAATTTTATATTTTCGTTTTTTTTTTAATTTTTCATTTTAAATTTTACAATTTTTTTATATTCATATATATAAAATTTAATAGATTAATCATTATTTATGAATAATACTACATAATATGTAATTAATTTAATGTAATAATAATAAGCAAGTTTTTCTCTAAATTCTGAAAATCCTTTATTTTAATTTATTTTTTAATTTGTAATATTTATTAAAATAATAGCAATTAATAATTATAATTTTTTTTCTTTAATGGAATAATATTTGTTAATTTAAATTATTTATTATTATATCAAGATATATTCTATTTTAAAGTAAAGTTGTTAATTTGATTTTTCATTTTGTTAATTTTTTATTATTTTTCAAGTATTAGTTAATACTTGAAAAAACTTTCAAATACTATTTTTATATTATTATAGCGAAATAATAATTGAATATATGTATAATATTTGGAAACTATATAAGCAAGTTGAAAATAAACTTCATTATTCTAATTAAAATCATTATTTACAAAAAGAAATTTATTTATTTATTTCATTGATTTCATTGATTTAATTTTAATGATTTAAAATATATTTGTGTAAATTTTGTAGTTTTCCTTCTACATATAATTGCTATTTGGCTTTAATCAAAATATCAAGAAAAATTTGTTTAATATTGCATATGTTTTTGTAGTTTAAAAAATTCTATTGACTTTAACTTTAACATGTCAAAAATTATTTTTCTAATTAATTTCCAAAAAATTTTAATCATCGCCCATTAAAAAATTATTAATAAAAAATATATCAATGATATTATACAAATTTCCAATAATTAATTAAAATTGGATTCGGATTATGTTATATTATGTTATATTATGTTATATATAATTTTGTTTTACAACGAAATGATCGTATTTTAATTTAGCCTAATTAAAATTAATTTATGGAAAAATAAAAAATTCATTTTTAACAAACTTGTATTGAAATATTTATTAGTATAGATTATATAAATATTATATAAATATGTCAACATTGTACAATTGTACAATAAAAATTGTAAATATTAGAAATTATCTATTAATTATAACATAAATTTTCATATAAAATTTAATTATTTATCTTTTTTAATAGAAAACTCCTTAATTAGCATACATAGTTATGCATATCAATAATAGAAAATTTTGTACAAAAGAATTTATATAAAAAAATATGTCTAAAAAATAATTTATATAACTAAAAATATATTATATTTATTAATATAAATATTTATAAATAAAAATAGTATTTCTTGAGAATTTGAAAATAATCACAAGAAATATAATAAATGATTTACTCAAAAGCATTTATATAATCTTTGAATAATATACAATTTTTAAATGGAGAAGATCTGTTTTATTATTTCCATTAATTCTAACTTGAAAAATTAAATTTTTTATATTTATTAAATAGAATTTTTATTTCAATGAATGTAAAAACTTCAATAAATAAAATTCCAAAAATAAATTTTTAATAAATATTTTTGAAATTTATCTTTGTACCTTACATAAAGCTGTATTCCAGATATTCCAGAAAATATATTAAGATTATTATTAAAAAATGATGGTGTACAATTTAAAAAATAATTAATTAATTAATTTAAAAATTATGTTGGTTTATAATTTAAAAATGATTAGATTAGGTTAAATAATAATCTATTAAAAAAAAATAGCGGCGCAATAGAAATAAAATCTTACTCTACATCTCGCTTTATTTAACACAAATTTTAAGTTTCAACTCTTATATCATATCATTTTTTGTTTAGTTTTTAGAATTGATGTTCTAAAAACTTCTATATATTAACATGCTATACATAACAAAATTATTCAAAATATTATTTTTTCAAAATATTTCAAAATTATTGAAATCAGTAAAATGTGTTTTACTGATTTAAATATAAAATAATTAGTTTTCTTAAAATAATTTTTTAAATTAATTTTTTAGTTAATTTAATAATTAATTTATTTGGTTTAATAGAATTATAGTTCGCAATAGTTTAGCAGAATTTGAGTTAAAATTATTAAATTTTAAAATTATGATCATTTTGATGATATAGCAATTATGTTCTTTTTTAATTTTATGTGGAAATATTATATCAATGCATACAATTCATAAAAGACTAGATTTGAGTAGAGTTATATTATATATATTAGAATTATATTAGATTTTAATAAATCTCTACTCAAGCATTTTGTGAATTTTATAATTATTATAATTTTATAACATCAATCGGAGATTTATTTACATCAAATCAATAACAATATTTTGTTTTAATAAAAGCCATATGTGAATAACATTTTAATATTTGTGTCACATCATATTTTGATTGAAAATAAAACCTTTTTGACATTTTTATTTCTAAATTTTTATTTTTACATTTTTGTTTTTACTATTTGATCATTTAAAAATAACTGAAATTCATTCTAATTATTTTTTTCAGCATTTATCGGTATTTTCAATCTTTGAGTTTAGTAAATGTATCAATAAGATGTATGTATCATAATATTAAAAAATATTTTATATATATATTTATACAATATATATACATATAGATACTATACGTATGTCATATATGTTATATGTTATATTATATAGACAAATATTACAATATTACCTTTTCAAGTTCTTTTAATTTTTTATTTTAATGTTTAAATGAAATTAAAAAAATATCATAATGATATTAAATTTTAAAAGTTAGAATATATTAAAATTGAGAAAAAATACTCAACTAAATTCAATCGAATTTCAACTTAAATTAAAATCATTAAATTTAAGATGACGTTAAAAATTAAATTAAAACTAAAAAAATTAAATTAAAACTATCACCATTTATAAGTGATTTGCAGAATTTAGTGAATGATATAATATAAATGTCATTAAAAAAAAAAAAATTATATTCGAAACAATATTTTACAGTCTGGTTCGTAGTATTTTATCAACTATGGAAGAAGAATGTCAAAAATATGCAATAATGGATACGGATAATTTAATATCGAAGACAGCTTATTTATCTTATCGTTTGACGAGTATTGTAATGTGTACTTGTGTAACATCTACCGTTTGTTATGCAATTGGTATTTTTTTGCATCAAGAAGTTAATGTAACTAAATCTCGAGAATTATTATTAAAAATGGACTTACCTTTTGATACTAATAAATCGCCCATTTATGAGTTTGTAATAATTATACAATATTTTTATCAAGTATCGTCAGCTTTTATGTTTGGTGTATTTACTGCATTTCTTTTGATGATAGTAAGTATTAATGGTAAGCTATTTTAAATTTCTTTTATTTGATTGAGATATCTTATTCTTAAAACAATTTTGTTTGTTAAGAAATAAGTTTAAAATGTATTACATGTACACATTTTATATGATATATAAAAAATATTCCTTTTTAAAAATAATTTAACAATTTAATCAGAAATAATATTATTTTTTGATGTTAAAATATATTGTAATACAATTAAATTTTATTTATATAGTTTTTATTAATTAAAAATTATATAATAATATATATAATATTATATATAATA